CGATAATGCTCAACCAAGATAATTCGGATTTAGTCGGACTTTCTTCGAAACAAGGCCAAAACAGGATTAGGTTTTCATTAGATTATGGATTAACTATTGAAAAAAAATATCCGTAGCATAGATTTGTAGCTGGTTGTTTTCAAAATAATGTTAGAATAATGAAGGTGTTAGCATTGGGACAGCGCCAATGACCTTAGTGACTTGGCCATTATCAGTCCCTTACCTTGAAATTATCTTGAAACTAAATTTAGAAAAAAACCCAATATGGAACACATACATATTTTTGCATATGGCATTTCATTTCTGGGGAAGCTGGTCCGTTATTGTGAGACAAACATTTTTCGTATCCAAAAATGCTCAAAAAATCAAATCGCTATTGATATTGCATAAAACATACAAAACATACTGCGTTATCGAAAAAGCGATTGAAAAATTGTAAAACTCGGTCTTGTTTCAAAATGGAAACATCGAAAAGCTCTAAATGCGAATTTTGACCTCGGTTGGGCATCATCTTTGCTGAACATTGATTTTGCAACAAACAATTCTCACTATGAAAAGAGCAACGTCGAAATTTTTTAAATCAAAAATTCAATCTTGATTGGAGCAATTTCGCTACAGAACTTCAGCATTGTAACTTTCTTTAAAATTTCAGAGTCTAAAGCGACACAGGATTAGGGGGCGGGGCTTGCAGTGTCTTGATATCCTGAGGAGCTCTAATTATTGCGGGTCCTTATATGCCTCGCGGGCACATCATTTAGGTGCGAGAACATGGCTCGGGTGAGAAACTCCCTCCCCCCTCCCTCCCTCTGAAAGAGGTGTCGCAAATCAGAATCAAATTTCGTGTCAAAAAGTCAAAAACTATCAAAAAAGCTGGGTCGGTAGTAAACCTATCGAAACTCAGAGTTATAACTCAGAGTTAACTCTGAGTTATCTCTGAGCTAACACGCAACTTTTTGACCCCTTTAACAGGTGTTTGAACAGATCAAATTCGGAAAGCGATGATATGGCAGGATGCTCCTTAACACGTAGTTTATTCCTAGTAGCGCAACATTGTCCAAATCGTCCTGCACAAGAAACAGCGCCACCAAACGCGCAACTAGTATGTGCGATAACTCTGAGTTTGATGCGCGTTTCAGTCTATCGTGGAACTCAGAGATAACTCTGAGTTTGGTCAGAAAAAGTGAAATAGCGCGCAAAAGAAGAGGGGCAGCTAAAAAGTCCTCCGGGGCACATTTTGCTCGTAGTTTAAGCAGGCATGATGGGGGTATCGTGGTGCGCAGTGATTTACAAAGTCTTGAAATTTTGTAAAAACTTGGCCCAGGGGGTTATTCGGTGCGCTGGTCACGCATATGGTACCCATTTTCCACTATGGGGTCATGTAGAGGTGTTACGGTAGGTTTACGGTAGATGGGAGAAAATCACGAAACTGATCGAAACTTGGTACACTGGGGTTATTCGGGGCGCCGATAACGAATATGACATGCAGCTTACACTGTGGTGTCATCTGACGGGGTTACGGTAGGTTTACGGTAGATGGGAGAAAATCACGAAACTGATCGAAACTTGGTACACTGGGATTATTCGGGATGCAGATTACGGACAATCTATCTGCTACATACACTGGTGACATATGGAACGGTTACGGTAAATATAGGTAAGTAAGACGAAATCATGGAAGGGCAAACTTTGCCTGGAGGATTTATTCTGTACGCAAATCCTAATAGTCAATTCTTATCATTGCGTATGCCATCCGCTTTCTCTATCGTCTGAAGCTTTCAGCTGCGCAAAAGACCAATCCTCGTGATGAACCATCACTGCCCAATAGAAATGGGAATGAGTGAGGCTTTGGTATAACTTGTTTTGACCTGCTAAGTGTTAATGGAATGAGTGAGTACATTATGGCAAAGCAATTTTAGGGTTTATGGGTGTGTCATGGTCTAGCGGTTTAGTGATAGGATCTTTACGCTAGACCGTACAGGTTCGAGTCCCTACTTTAACGTCGCTTTTGCAGCAAAGTGCTTAACAGCTCCTCAAAGCAAAACTCCGAGCTTGAGAGTTGGAATTCGGAATAGCGAAAGCGGAACTCAGAGTTTCAATAAGCGTAACTCGGAGTTTCAAAAACGGAACTCAGAGTTATTTCTGAGTTAACGCGGAGCTTCAAACTCGGAGTTTCGACCAGATTACTACCGACCCTGGAATTTTCCCTACCAAGTGAATAGGAGTCGCTGATCAAAAAACTACGTATGAAGCGGATCTTAGTTCGATAGGTATGCCAGAAAAGCACTCCAAACGTACACTTAGAGCAAATGTTTAGGAAATATTCGAATGCTTGAAGGAACACCCAAACTGCTTTACGAACCTGTATGAAGTTACTTTGATGGAATCACGTTTTTAAAAATGTTAAAGCGCAAAAAATTTGAATTCTCTGAAATTGCAGCTAATGTGTAAGATAGAATGCTAAAAATTCTTACCGTAATTCTGCAATGACGAGAGGACGTCGTTATAATTGGAACTGTAATTCTAAGTGAATGTCAGCTCTATAAACAACGCTTAGAGTGGGTGGCAAACATCAGGAAAGGAGAGTTTTAAATAGAACAGAGGGACATTTTTATGGAACGTATATGCATCATAGCATACAGTTCTTCTACGAGCTTCAATACGGTTCGCATTCTTAGAAATCGCAAAAGCGGAACCGACAACGAAATCATCCATTTTTTATCAGATTAGTTGTATTACTAAATTTATGGCCACATAGAAATGTTACTTAATTTTCAGTTTGAAAAGGCTTCTTAAAAGGTACGATTGCCTTCCCTGCTACAAACGGCTGATATCAACACTCAGCTTATCCATTTAGATTTCACAATAAATATGACTTACCGCTAACGTCATGAAGTCTTTTACAAGAAAACTAACATTTGATTAGCTACTGAGTTTTAATAATCTTCTGCAAGTGATTGTTAACTCTCTGATAGAATTCAGCACTACCATTTTTTTTCGTAAAAAATAGGCTCTGTTCTTTCTGTGCTTCGTTTGCGAACGGAGCAGAAGTGAGCTGTCGACCACATAGTGTTATCTTTTCGCAATTCTGCTCAAGATTAGATAACAGAGCTACCGTAGTAAACACGTCTACCGAAGTGACGAATCCGAGTTGGCTACAAAATTTTGTTCCGCAATAGTGTTCACGTATAGCACTCTCATTTCAAATGGGTGTGGCGGGAGCAAAGTGCGAGTAGGTAATAAAGAGAAACTGTTTTCCTCATACACTGGGTGCTTCATCGAAAGGTACATATTGTATCAAGATGTATCGATATGCATATTCTCAACAGCAATACTAGAACATTCGCACTTTTCAAACTTTTTGAGTTAAAACTTTAAGCACCGGAGATGACGATTTTGAGTTTAAATCACTTGCTTTCAAATGATGTACTGAATTACGTTTCTGATGAACATGGGTATCTTATCTTAGAGCTAGGAGTGTCCGACGCAATCCAGTAAGGGGAAGAACTTTCCTTAGTGCTCAAATGCTATTCGTAGTCGGATGAAAATGTGCGCAATAGTTCAACACTTATCAAACCCAGCTGTAAGTACTGTTAAATTGTAAGCGGTTTACTGAAAACTATGGAAAGTCAACAATGAATCAACAGTAATTTTTTATTGCAAATACTAGAATATTGGATTTCTCGACTTTTGAGCAAAAATCAATCACCAAACATGCTGATCTTATTTTTAGAAAACTCTCCCAACACGGTGATCTAGCCAGTGCTTCCGATAGTCATGCTGCCATGATTTGGCAGCATGACTATTATGCTATTTTGTTTCATGCTAAAGTCCAAAGTAAAACCATCTTCTAAAAGGTAGAAGCATCTTTACTATTGACTCAGGACAGACACTAAAAATTAAAATCACTCCACTTCTTTAGAGAGTTTCTTATGAATGAAACGTTGCTTTTGGCCTACTGCAACGTAAAAAAGCCTTATAAGAGCTATTAGATCTAAGCAATTTAATGCATATCATTTTCAAAAACAATTTGATTTCATTGAATACTAAGACTCAGAGTCTGAGCTAAACTGCTTAGAATGCCATCGCACGTTCACTCACTAGTGTGTTGTGAGATACTAAAGTGAAAACGCAGTCTGCCTTTTTTGTTAAAACCGGGAATTGCTTTGTAACGAGGATGAAAAATTTATCGTCTGCTTTGCCATTCCTCATTATTCGTGCTTTTAACATGGATAAGAGACCATAAAGTTGCTTAAAAACCGCTAAAGAAAGTGGTGAGTGCGCTGAAAACAGATCACACTTTGGAAGTCAGAAAGGTTCTAAACTTGTAAGCCTTTAATTTGTATTCAGATTTATGACTTCCTGATTCAATCCTAATGTACGAAGTACACGATGCAGATTTGCTATGAATTGATGGAATTTTTTTTCTGGGCATCGAAACTTCTTAAGAAAGTTTCGACCAAGTCTGAAGAATAAAGAAATAAGAATAAATAAGAATTATGGGATGAATATTTTTCTTACGAGCTTCAGTTTAAGCGTACTCAACGCTGCATCTTCCACATCTTCAAAAACTGCCATCCCATAATGCATTACGAACTTCTCCTTCAATGCAACATTTGAAGCCAGGTCTAGGCCGATTACTCCCAGTACCATAAGGCTGTTGAACTCTGTCGATCAGCTTCTTCCGTTCTCATGATTCGTGTCGAGCTTTATTTTGGGAAGTTTGGCGTGATGCGTATGGCAAGATCACATTTCGAAATGGTATTGACAAAATGCAAGGGTCATCAGCAGCACCCTATTTGTCGCTTATAAGCTGATAGGTAATGAAAATTGGGCGGAGAAGACGAACGGGTGAGATTTTGCAGACAATGCGTCATGATGCCGACAACATTTCTGCATCAGCATTTTCGTTATCCGTTCTCGACGCTATAAAGCGCTAAAAAGCGACGCCTTCCACTCTCTCAACACTTTTACCTGCTGTTTCATTGGCATTCCTGAGAATAATGGTGGCACCAAACGATACCTCTTCTTCCTCGGCGCAAGGTAAATCGGCAGACTTTGGCTTTTGATCAATTAATTTTAGCGAATTTATTTGTCATCTATAACTCAATAGTTTGAGATGTGTAAAAACCGTAGCTAAATTAGTTTGTAAAATGCCACCTTAGCAATCGAGTGAACCATTTTCTCAGAACATTACATTGAACTGTATTTCTTGCATTCCAGTAACATCTGACGAAAGTGAAGATGTGCTGTTGGCTCCTCCGATTTCTACCAAATTGGTAGACATAAGGCAAGATATGAGGAGGAGACCTAAAGGTTATGCTAATTACAAAATACTGCAAAAGATTGGCGAGTATACGGTACGCTTAATGCAGCTTTGAAAGTAGTAGATTCTCACTTGCAATGGATTTGTTCGTAGGTGACCGACCGAGATTTGGTGCCAGCCCGAGTAAAATATCTCAATAATAAAGAAGCCTTGGCTCGTGGATTAGATGACGTGTCATATGATCTCAATCAAGGATTCGACGCCTTTATGGAGAAGGAAAAAGACAAATATGAAAGAAGACAGCTGGAAGAAAATAATGTACTTCTTATGATACCAAGGCTCACGTTAGAGATTAAGTCCATTTCATTGAAGGCCGATGAAAGACTTGATAATTTTTGGAAATGGATTATCATGCAAGCACCTAAGGGTAGCTCTGTGAAAGAGGTACTGCATAACCCGAGTAAAAGGACAAAGAAGGCTTTTTTGGTGCTGCATGATGCTGACATTGTATGCTGTCGTGGACTGTTGAAACGAATAGCACGCACTGCGTATACCCCTATTGAAGTTTGGGAATTTTCTGCAATTCGTTTCGACAACGTGGTTTTTCTTTGTGAACAAGAACTTTATCCAAGCTGGCATACCGAATCAAGAAATCTGCTGCCGTACTGGTATCGCGGTCTCAAATTTAAGCAGCATATGACAGTGAATAAGTTGAATGTAAGTTATGTTCGATTTTTTGAACGAAAATAAAAAAATAAAAACGAACTAAACTGTGGTAGCAAAAAATAACTGCTCTATATTTTGAATTCTTCAGATGGAGGCAACTAGTAAACGTCTCTTACTCACAGTTTGCCACGCTTTTCAGTTTCAGATTTTTCAAACAATTTTACGCAGGGCTATAGACTTCACACCGCCTGGCCACAAATAACTTGGTTTTTTTTCTTCAGGAAGAGCCAAGAACAGATGACCCTGTCACACGTGAAGAGCATGTAGTAGTGTTCTGCTCGACACTGGGACCCGAATGTGGGAACCCCTTGAAGCTAGTTTTCAACGGAAGTATTGATGCAATTAAAGCAGGTGCGTAACAATCTTATTTAACGACCTTACTTCCAGAGCTCGGCACAGATTGCCTATGAGCATTCTTTACGTCATTTCGGAAATAAAAAGGGAATATCGTTTTTATCTGAAGATGAGTCTTGAATAAATGCATCTATCAACCTAGTAAATATGGTCCATACGAAATAATCGCCTATCGCTTCATGCAAAACTTTTCGGAAGTGTTAGAAAAGAGAAACCTTCTAGAATCTCATGTATCAGTTTCCTAAACTGGCAAAAGAAAGCATTTAATTCTCTGGCCTTTCGGAAAAATACAAATTTTGAATCAGCATAAAACGCTGACTCGAAATCTGCTCCTCACAAGTCTAAATCCTTGCTTTGGAGCGAGCTATGAGTCCTGAGAGCTCAATCCGAACGTTTGTACCACTTCAGATCGGCTTCTGAATCTCTTAGAAATTTCGAAATCAAATCAAATCGCTAAATTAATAATTACCCTACTGGACGTGCGCACAGTCGTGGACACCTTGGCGTAATGAACCCCGTGGAGCCCGAGTCTGATATGAATGGGACCCTTATAACGCGGGCGATTGATTAAAAACGCTCTGATCACGCATTATAATCGAAAACTGATTTTTATATAAAGTAGCCAATTTACGCTCATCAACCCAACAAATTTTCGCAGTTTTCTCCCTTACGAATACAACTTGCTCCATCGCTAATCTAACTTGAACTAAACACATGCGTAGTTTCAACCTTTATCTTATTTGCAACCCTCCCCCTTTCCACTCTTCATGGGACGTCGGAAGTGCCATCACTGCTCTGCCAATCCCATTCTCTGCAAATCCAGCTCCAGTATGCTCTCTTGGAAGGGCTGAAACCCAAAAAAGTGCCCTAAAAAAAGGCTTGTGTGTTTACAGCAAAGAAGATATAATACAGCATTTATAATAATTTGATTGTAGATGCGCAGTTGAGACTTAACATGTACAGTGCTGAACATAAAAAAGACACTCTAGGAATTGTCGTAATTTGCGTGCTGTAGATGAAATTGTCCGAAACTTTGCTGTAAAGCGCGCATCATAGCATTACCACGACTCCATAAGACGGCTTCCTTCTTTTTTTAAACGAAGAAAAACAGATATTCAAAAGCACCTACGCTTACCTTTGGACAAAAGTATAGGGCCACATGGTTTTTGAATGCTATCGCATACCTATTCTGAATTTTTTTGTACAGTTACATACTAAAATATGAAACATTTGCAACATCTGCTACCTGTCATTTTTCAAAAAGAAATGATCGCTGCATTTGTTTTCAAAAGCATCAATAAGTAAATCTAATTGAAATGTAGCAAGTGTGTTTTAACAAACAGCTGGTTTGAAGAGTTTTCAAGCTCTCTTGTTCACTTCAAATAGTCAATAGTCATGGAATCCACCGAGCCTTTTCGATAAACGAGGTGAAGGAGGTTTTCGTAACCTGCGTAATTTCTGTTATGGACGGACAGTATCCAACCTTAACATAGGGATGCCGCACTTTTGCACCACAAAACCCAATTTGCAATGTTTGAACTGCTGGAATTGATTTATTACATGGTGATGCAGCTTTCTCAACAACTTTCAGATTTTCCTTAGTGAAGCAGTTGCGATTTAGACCTCGAATACGCTACATAAAAATTCTCCTCGAGCAGTAGTTTCGACATAATTATATTAGTCCGCTTCTTTCCGTTTTTGATCAACCGTAAATCTCTTACAGTGAAGTTAAAAAATGCTTAAAGCAGTGTTTTACGCAGAATTTCTTTCCCTTTCCAGCATCTATGGTTTCTACTTAAATCTTTTGACGAGCGCTGAGATAATTGATGAAACTTACAACCCTCCATTTTTACCACGCCTAACCTTCGCTAATTTTCTTTTTCTATCATATTTCGTATTTAAATGGGTACTTTGATAAGAGCAGAAAGGGCAAACCTTTTGCAAATCGATACAGATTTTGGTATTCTTTGAGCTTCTTTTATAGTATCTTGCTGGATTACTTTACAAAGTTTTGGTTTTCAAAAAAATCGCATAACACATGATTGACGGAATACTGCAAAATCCTCAGAATGTTGCATGGTTTGCGAAGAAAAGGCAGAAAGAGGAGAATAAGATGCATCGAATGGCGCCTGAGCTGCTCAACCTCCAATGTTTTAAAGGTTAGAATCAGTCGAATATAAAATCTTATCACTTCGAAAAATAGTTTTAATAATTCCGAAAGGCATGCCAAAGAAAAACAGAAATATGCATAAATTTGCAAAAAGTTTGCAATATCAGATGGTAGTTCGGGCACCTCCAAAAATTTGAACTGGAAATTCTGCGGTGGTAGTAACTTGATTAATTTAGTAGTAACTGGTAGGTATTGGTAGTAACTTCGCAAGCATAGCTGCTGGAAAGAGGAAAAAATTCTGATTAGGATACTGCTTAAAGCAATCGGTTAACCTTTACTCTGTAAGCGACTTCCGCTTGGTAAGCATTCGCTCGCCTTTATTCAATTGATGTAGCGAAAGGTATATCAGTGGTAAGCGTGCCAATACTAGTTCCTCAATGTTGGTCATAAAGCAAATGGCTAGGACTGAAGCTGAAGCTGAATAGGCGCAAACTCATTGCCAGTCCGCAAATCCGCCATTGAGAATGCCTAGGTTGAAGAGAGAACTTGCAAGTGAGTGAAAGAAAAAACTTGCAACTTTTTATTAACTGTTTAGTGTTCTTCTTCTGTCTTATCTTATTTGTTATTCATGTCTAAGTCATCTGTGAGCGTGTCATAGGGGAATATGGTATTTTTATTGCGAAATCAACGGCGTGTTTGCAAGGCATTGCCAGAGCCACCTTCTGCCAAACCTTTTACTTCTGTCTTGGTAACCTTACTACCATTTTCTTCTAGGCGGGGAGATGGTGGAGTTGAGGACTCGTTGCTGTGCTCAAAAACATCACTTCGCCAAAGATTTCTCAAGTTATTTGCAATCGTTCCTGGTGGGTATTGCTGACACTTACGTGGGATATCACAATGGCGATGGATTAGTCACAAAAGTAAGAAATACGGTAAAACTGCCCATATTTGTGTTGGACTTACAGGTTGAGCATGTGCCTGCTTGGACACTTCCCTATTCTCAGGGCAATAACGCGTTTGCAAACCCATGCATGCATCTACTCTCAAATGTCTTGAATTCGGTGAGTTACATTTGAGACTGCTAAAAAAGTTCAGCTTTTACTACTTAGGCTCTTTAGCTGTAATGGTGTGTTCCAGATTCGTTCAGCATTGCAAAATGATGGCGAAGCTTGCAAAGTCAATTACGCAGCTTCCGAAATTGCAATTCATCCAGCTTCATTAGCCGATGTAGATTTCTTCCAAAATACTAAATTTAGAGAACATTTTGGTTTGCTTTGAAACGATCCTTCCTTCAATCTATGTAACTCAGATAAACTTTTGGTACTTTAGTTAGTTGGCTAATGTATTTCGGTCGCTTTTGCGGCTCCTACAAATCCTTGAGGTTTGAAACTAAAGCTGTCTGAGAATAACCTATTTTAAAGAAAGCGTAAAAATGTGAGAAAATCCCGATTTCTCAGTGTGCGCAAGTGTGTGTGAAGATTTCTCTATTTCGACAAAAAAATCCAAAAAGGCTGAAACAAATTTAATTGTGCTGTCACCATGTCAGAGCCTCTGTGGCTTTTGAATAATGAGACCAGGTCAGAACCGGGTCACTAGTTAACTCTAAAAGTTAAGCGGTACAGCTTTTGGCATAAGTGATCTGCACCCACCCAATTATTATCATCTTCTAAGGTGAGCACTGGCTTAATCTTGCGTTTTGGTTGAGGCTATTGTTTTTCCTAGGGGTTGAGCTCTTTTTTGTAGTCGATAAGGTGTTTGATCGGATAGTTTACTTATGGGCCTTCGACTTTTCAGACTCTGAAAAAGGCGAGTTTGCCGAAATGTCAGTCTATATTCTATTCTGTGCGATAAATTTGTACCAATCTTGGACTACGCTCAAGCAACTAACGAGAAGATTACAATTAAGCCAAGATTTATGTATAGTCGAACATGCCTTATGAACAAATTTGATTGTTAATCGCTGAAAAAAAACTTAGCTCTATCCAAACACCAACTTGCTTCTCTTCGTATCCATTGAAGAGTGAAAACGGGGTCAAAAGTCAAAAATAAGCTCTCGGAAATTTGGCTATATTGGGGCACAACTGTCCTTCACTAACAATAGAAAACTCAGGGTATCTTATTTGTGATAGCAGAAACTTGGAGCTACTTTCCCTATCTATACCGTGGTAAAGTCGACTGCAGAAACAGACGGTTGCTGTAGGCTGACGCAAGAGAGCGTGCCTACAAGCGGCGACCGAGTACGGGAGCTATGATGACTCATGCGCGCGAATGCCAGTGTTAGAACGTAAGAGACACGCTCGCGGGCGTTCAGACCGGCGATTCCGTGCAGTTGACTATAGAGCATCTCCGTTCCATTCAACATAATATCAGGATCGATTGATACATAGCGCCCCAGGGGCGCTATGTATCAATCGCACGATCGTGAGATCGTGTGCTCGCTTACGTTGAAAACATGCTCATGGTCAGGTGCGAGCACACGATCTCGCGATGTATCAAGCGCACGATCTCGGCACAAGATCGTGTAGCATCGCACCATCTGCCGAGATCGTGTGCTGCATGTTTGACGTGGAAAAAATGCGATCTGTTCCCACGTCCAATGTTTTCGCACGCCTTTTTTGACGCTCTCCTAGGGACCGGCCATACTATTTCTGTGATTGCTGCAATTTCTGCGATTCCTGTGATTCCTGCAGGTACCGCAACAATGTGTATTGCGAAAAACAATATATACTGTAGTTCATAAAGCGCTTCGTAGTGCGGCACACCGGAAATGAGTGTCACAGGAATTGCGGGAATTGCAGGAATCGCAGGAATCAGTTTCTGAATAGTATGGCCGGTCCCCTATTGTCGCAGCCTCCGAATTCTCTATTCCAATCGTATGTTCCCAATATCTGTTTTGCCTTTTACTGAATTTGATTTGTCCCTCGTGAGCACTCGTGTTTCCATGTTCGCAACACAACGCTGCTCATTGCAGGTTTTGGGCACAGTTCATCCGAACACAACGGAGGGTCGCTTCGCGCACTACGCAATTGTTAAATGGAAAACTAACAATTTTCTGAGGCGAGTTTTTAACATACTTGCCCTTGTTTTTTCATTGATGTTGGTAGCATGCACTTGCACTTATCTGTAAAGGTTACTGCCTGACGAAGGCACGCAGCTATCTTCACCGTTGTAGACCTTGCGCTTCATAAGTCTGTGACTAAATTCTCACCTCTGGATTTTGCGCCTACGTCCGCAAGTAACCTGTATGGCTCCCATAAGTAAAGGGTCATGTAAATCATGCACACCATCGTTTCATAAAAAACTGCTTGTTCTTATGTTTGCATTTATGTTCGCATTCACCGGTCTGCCGAGAAACTTGTTTTGCCCATGCATTGTTTATCACCGTAAGCGTAGGTTGCTCATGCCGCTACCAGCAGCTTTTCCCATCAGTGGCATGCGTGCAGAGACAACACCGTTGCTATGCAAGTTTTAGTGCCATATGCTATATTTTCAGTATGTTTCAGACAATTATCGGAGTTGATAAAATGCTCGGGTTTAGCCAGCTGAGGCTAATTCACCAAAAGCGAAGAGGAGAGTCGGAGGTGGAGGAAACGAGTAGTTAGAAGAAGGTAGAATTTGATTATCCTTAGTTTTTGTGTTGAGTCTGCTATGCAAATGCAAACTTAAGGGTTCGTGGAATCTTGCAGTTTACACTGTTGACAATGTGAATTCACTAGTGAAGATTGGTCGTAATTTGCGAATGCAGCACTCAGCATGGATGGAGTGGATCGATCGTCAAACTACAAATCGTTGTATTGCAGGTGAATCTATCTTGCTATATCTAAAACATGTTGAGCATATTGATGATAGTTATCCTGTTGGATTGATTTAGTCTACTGCATCAATTATCTTTTATAGTTTCGTACATCAAGTCCCGTTTCTGACGATCTCAATTGCAACAATTGATTATTCATTTTGGTACTTTTGCAGATATCGTGTCTCAAGCGTCACTTTGGGTCGTTTTGTGCCGGTAGCAACGAAAGCTTTTCTACGACTTCTGTTACTTTGTTATTGTAAAAAAAAACGAAGATCTCTCTCATCATTATAACAAAAAAAAAAAGAAGCAAGTGGTGATTGTTGATTATGTACTGTGTAGCCAATCATTTGTGTTGTTGTTCCATAATGAACAACTTTTACACAGTTGTGATTAAAATTTCCATCTTATGTATCATATTGAAAAATTTTTTTCTCAATAAATTCTCTGATCAAAAGCATTTCATTTATAGTGCTACTTCTTTGACAGCATGGTTGCTTCGATTCAAGTTGCTGCTATTTCCAGCCTAGCGAATTTTGGTTATGGCAGTCCAGAAATATACGGCAGAAACAAATCATTGGCGGCGGAGACAAAGAGCAGTTCCTATGCTGCCCAATTCCCAATTCAAAACTTCAATTTGCGCCTCTTAAAAACACTACAGTCGAGTAATTTCCTGCTCAATATAGTGTCCCTGCAGACACGACAACGTTTATGCGTTTGAAATCGCCATTGCGAGTTTCCGGCGAGTGCTTGTTGATGTTTTTCTCGTTTATTCTTTGTAGGTCTTTCTTGTCTTTTTTGCTTTGTAGTACTTCTTTGCTGATAAAGGAGAAGAAGGTAAGCTAAACAGTATTTACGGTTTTTAAGTAGTTATATCATCGTTTTCTCCGCAACATTTACGTGGAGGCACGTCGCGTCATTTCATACGTATTTTTTCAGTCATTTCCTTTTCTTTCGTCACGTCTTGCCTCTTCCATCTTATGAAGCATTTCTTGCGCTAGTAGGCTTGCGCTGCAGCAACTTTGGCTTCCACCCCAAAAGTGATAGCTTTTAATCGAGTAGTTCGTGTGTTAAAGAACAATAAGTCAAACCTGCTAGCGCAAAAGCCTACTAATGTTCAAAGATTTCTTCACAAGAAGAAAGAGGAAGTGATAAAAAAATATGCATGAAACTGACGTGACGTGCTTCCATGTAGACTCAGGAATAGCGATGATATACCTATTTAGAAGACAGAAACTACTCTCTAGCTTACCTTTTTCTGCTTTATCACAGCGAATAACCTAAAAAGCCTACCTATAATAAACAAAGAAAACGCTAGAAAACACTTGCGGGAACTCGCGACTGCAATTGTTGACGCATATTAGGCTGGAAATCTACTCGACTGTAAATATCACATTTGGAGCCCGCAAATCAAAAATTGTGGTTAGCACAAGAAAAAACGAAAAAATTGTACGTGGGGATAGGCGCTAAACACGGAAAATCACGTGAGGTGAGTGTACGGCGTCCACTTCGCGTTGGCGCCAACACGGTCACTCGCTATGCGCCAGTTCGAGTTCCTGGCGCACACGGACACCGCACATCGTGTAATTACACGATCTTGCACACACTTTGATACATCGCGGGCGCCTCGGCAGATCATGTGCTGGTTCAAGATCGTGTAATTGCCAGATCTTGAACCAGCACACGATCCTGAGATTGATAAATAGCACCCCAGGTCGTCCCGTATGAATTTTCGCGTTCTGAAGAAACGCGACAATTCCCGAACATTGATTTGTAGAAGATCTTGGTACCATTCAATGCATCTTTTCATTCTTTGCCAAATATTATGATTCTATTGTAGTACAATGAAAGATTTCTTAGACAATCACCAAAATCTGAAACCCATGCTTTTTGTCAAAGTTAAGTCTCGTTATTTTTCTTAATTTTCATACCAACCCTCTAAAAACGTCCAAGTAACGGATAGAAGGAGCAAACTGTACAGGTCACAAAGAATTTTCTCGTTTTCCACAGTCCGCCAAAAACATGATTTTTTGAGCAAAACCACCGGATTTTGGCAAGCCTATCTCAAACAATCGCGTCACAGCAATAAACTTTAGGAATTTGGAACTTCCAACAGTCCAGTGCAAATGGGCGTTCTTGGCTTCGCGATAACAAATCTCGATTTTTCCGAGTACGGTTTGAAATGCATATCGAAACAAGAACTATATCAATCACCAAGGACATTATAAATCAGAAAAAAAAGCATCTCTCAGAGAGAGAGAGAGAAAAGCACATTGAATAACACCCGAGTTGCACTCTGGTTGTTGTTCTGTTCTGTTGTTGTGAGCTTTGTGATGACCAAATATGGAACTTAACAGCTTCACAGAATTTTTTTTTGAAAAACAAAAGCAAGCCATGGAAGAGAAAAAAAGAGCACTGTGCCCTAAAGGGTTAGCACTTTTTATTTGTCACTTGAACGTCTTTGCAAAGTTGCTATAAAAATTTAGAAAAACAGCAAAACTTGACTTTGGCAAACATGGGTTTCAGATTTTGGTGTTTTTCTAGGAGTTCTTTCACTGTACCACTGTAAAGGCATAATCTTTTGATAGAGAATGAAAGATGCACGAAATGGTGCCAAAATTCCCTAAAACCTCTGTTCTGCGATTGCACAGGGCATGCTACCCGCATGAAAGTCTAACATGCAAATTCACGAGCAGATTCGTTGAGTGGATCCCTCAAAAACTGCGCGTCAAACAGATCCACTTTGCATTTGGGCCGCAAGGTTGGGGATTTCTGTACAAAGATGTAGCTTACGTGATTGTTGTTCTTATTGCAACTGTCAAGACCATGGGAATCAGAAATCTCTAAAATTTGCGTTTGTTCTCCTGCAACAAGTTCCGGAATGAGTAATTGTTTACATTTTGTTCGTGATAGTAGGCATTGCAATGATAAGTGGCCTATCCTGTGGCCGCAAGCTAAGAGGACAAAAGAAGAGAGAAAGGGATTGGACAAAGAATTTGCGAAAAGAAAAAAAAAATCCGAAATTGTCAGTCCGACATTCTAGTGGCCAAATTATAGGAATTCTGATTTTTTTGGCGTACTGAACAGCTGAGTGGTTTTTCAAAAATGTCGCTTGAATGCGCTAAACCCTGAGCTTACAGAAACGAGCAAAGCTTTAGCGATTGCCTTTTTTAGAAAGAAAGAATGGGTCTTAGAATGACCGTAACGGTCTAATATTTCAGTATTTATTTCAGCCTAAATAATTGTGAAGAAAATAGTTAAGCGTGCGTAATTTAGATAATTTCTTACACATGCAGTGGCTAATTGTCGAAAACGCCGTGCATTCGCTCTTGAACTCTGGCCAAAGTGAATGCTGCTGAATGAAAAGTTTCGAACGCGCTTATATGAAGCATTAGAACTTCTTAACAACAGAAGTTGGAAGCCCGATTTCGACCAAAAGAGCTTCAAAGTAAAAAAGCATGAGCAATTCTGGTTGCATTCAATAATTTTTGGCGTGCAAAATCATTGCAAAATAGTTGCTGTAAGGTTTATGTGAATGAGCATGTTTCAAGCAAGATGCTTGAGAATTAGCTCTGATTGCTTTATATGTTGCGCTCGTACTGTGTTTGTTTGAGCTCTGTATTTGCTATGAATAAAAGTTGAATGCTCAGTGAGTTTTCGTATTAATGGAAAACTTTTAAAAGGTATATAGAGCTGCACCACATACCGGGTGTCCCAAGAAAATGTACCTACTTGATTGTAAATAACTCTTTTACAATGAAGTGTTTCAAGAAGCTTTAGGTACCGTTTTGTAGAGAGAGGTTTAACTTAGACTTACTGTATAAAACGAATCATCGATCACTTTTCATTACTGTGGGGTTACGGTAAGAATTTCCAGCATATGGAACCAACGTGATGTGTACCACATAACAAATCTTTTTTCAAAACATCTGAAAAATTGTTTACTAGGATTTTCCTGCATGCTGATTCCACCTAACAACTTTTACGAGTATTTACAGCTTTTTTGATGGGTAATCACATTTCACATTTTTGTAATCACAATTTTAGTGATCTTTGAATTATTTCACTCATTTTGAAGAAAAATCTTTATTTAATAATCGGAATACTCCCTGCATAAAAAAACCATGATTCTTGACATCAAGATTGGAAAAGAACTCTAAACTTGAAAACCATCTTTGAACTAAAATCTGGGTTGAAACAAGGGGTGACTAAAGTTTTGGAAATGAAGGTACGCAAAAGTGCATCACATAAACAAGTTTACTTGAGTAAAACCGAGATTAGTCAATATCTTTCACATTTCCATTTTTCGCAATTTTTGTTCAACCTTTGTTGACTCTCGTTTCCTGCAACAGTAGGAGCTTGAGCTGGTTAACACGTTGACGACGGTATCGCGCAATGGTGCGCGACAGGCAGTCTGTCCCTGTGGACGATGTCGCGCAATGGTGCGCGACACCCTAAACATCAGTTTTAATGTGCATAAAGGTTCCAATTTGTGTTCATATAATCAAATTAGGCTCGAAAGTATTTCATGTTGGCCCCGCCCCCTTTTTGGCAAACTCCGCCCTCTCCATTGCCCTCTACAAAAAACTTTCTTCGTTCTCAAATCGCATAGAAAAGCTTATAGATGACAGGGGAACCTCAAATAATCTTGATTTTGACCCCGCCCCCGTAATGCAGGCTCCACCCTTCGGTGGCAAGCTCCGCCCACTTTTCAAAAATGCCGGAATTTGCACGAATTCATTGATTTTGAGCAATTTCCAGCATTTTTGAGAAGTGGGCGGGGCTTGCCAAAAGTGTGCGGAGCTACCCCGCCCACTTGAATTTGTGTATCTCACGCATAGATGCATGCATATATATATATGTGCAGCCGATTGTGAAAATGCCTGCAAACGGTTCTTCCACAGGGACAGACCTTCAAGAAATGGCTCGTCGTCAACGTGTTAAGGAGTATGCTCTATGGTAGAGATGGCTAGGGAAAAACTCTATGTAGGAATTGTTTGCTCAACTGGGATTGCGTTATTTTGCAGAGCATCCGCGGCAACATACGCAATGAAAAGTACGCAAAAGTGTTAACTTGCTCGTTATCTCGTTTTTGAAATGTTTTCTTACAACTCTCTCAGTCAGCAAAAATCGAGCACGTGCTCGTCGTGGAGTGTAGTTGACATGTTTCAAAGAGCCCTTTGCATCATGAGAACGATTAGTAAATCAGCATGAACAACTTCAGCTCAAAATCCATAACTTCGAGTGCAGGTTTACCGCTTTGCCATTCTAACATACGGTTCTAAAAGAGAGGGTTAAGAAGTCAAAGTAATCGGTCAAAACAAGCTGCATACCACCAGTGAGAAGTTGGAAACTGATTCAAAGTCTGCTTTTGCGACCTGCAGATTGCAATCGCCATCATCTCTAGACCATGAATGGAGCAGTGCTAAGTGTCAGCATAAAATAAAACTCTTTCATATAGTACAACAGTACTTTCTATTGCTTCAAAACGTGTTGTAACGATTGCTTTTGAATAGCTATCATTTCATTTTCTCTGCAGCAAAAAGGCTCAGAACAACTTTCCCAAAAACGCTCTGCATATTGGAAGCAGATTTGAAGCCATCGTTTCAAGTTCTCAATAATAATATACAGTTTGTTGTGATTGGCCATCCTGGCTTCGCGACCCTCCCTTGTAAAAATATGAATATGATGGAACTATTAGCACACTTTGTGATCGTTAATATAACTCTCTTACTTTCATGTATTTTGCCGAGTTTGGGGTTCCCTCTTGTAGAGCATGGTTCAACTTAGATTTACAGTATAGAGCGAACCACTAGTCACACCCCATTGATGTAGGACTACGGTATGAACTTACAGTATACAGCCAGGGTCCGGCACGAGGTTGTCAAATGACAAGCTGGAAATCGTTTTGGGCAAAAAAAGCAAAGAAGAAATCGTTTTTGCGGGGTCCGGGGCGGAGCCCCGGAAAAAATGGTAGTGCACGTTCTCTGATTATCTTAGCTTGTTATGTGCCTCGACAGGCGAACACTGGAGTTCGCGCGCGTCAAACCGCGCCGTCGCTAATTGCCGCACGCGCGATCGCTCAAACGAGTTATTTGTAACGGCATACATGACTAGTTCTCAATGTACGCGTCACGGTATGACACCAGATTTTATAGGCGAACGGAGAGAGGCTAGTGGAAACAAAACATGAAAAATTATGAAAAACTTATGTGAACGGGACGAGTAATAAGCATTTTTTCCAAAGATTTTGCAAAATTGGTAAATGAAGTTGTAAATTCAAATGGCTCGTTTGCAACGCGCAGATGACGATATGGTATGAAATTTGGTACGCACGTGGACGCAAGCCTGTAGGAGCTAACTTAGGAGTTTCATTGAAAAATTATGTGACTGAAGGTTGTGGCAAAGTTTTCTCTGAAAATTTCCCGCTACCAAAGAAATGGAAAAATGGCTCGTTTGCAACGCAGAGGCGACGAAATCGCGCGGGATTCGGTGTGTATATGCGCAGTAGGACTAAGTAACAAAGTATGAAAAATTATGAAAAACTTATGTGAATGAACAGTTTCCTCAACTTATTTCCAAATTAGCTTGTCATTTGACAAGCTAATGACGAGCTGAGCTTGGCAAAACTCTCAATTCACATAATTTTTTCAAAATTTTTACATAAATCTACTCTACGCCTAAAGATTAGTATATACTGAGAATTTGGTTTCAAACCTCCTCCTCTCCTCATTGCTAGAGGCAAAAATAGCCTCTACAGCCCCGTTTCCTAAAGAGGGAAGCGCGCTCCAATCAACAACGGCGTATCGCTGAGTCCTTTAATCGGCTTTTTTGATGTTTCGTCCCTACTATTTTGCACTTGCTGCTTTTTATTCTGTATACTACCACTTTTACTTCTTACTCTCTTACTCTACTCTTTGCTCTTTTTTTACTCTCGTCGTAGTCCTTTTGCGCATTTCAACGAAATTTCACTTGGCCTAAAATTGTTGTGATTTTGCATAAAGTGGATCTTTCTTTACTTTCCTGGTTTGCTTAATTTGCAAAAATAGTGATTTGATTGTTCTTTTGAAAGTAACGGTCGATAACTGACTTCAGTTGGATTTGAAGAAGTTGCAGTTTTTGGAAATGAACGACGGTGCGTATGAAGTTCGTTTGCGTCCATTCGTGTTATGTAAAATTGCTTGCTATCTGTCGGGCACAAAGTGCAAGTGTTATGAGTGTACAGTGGGTTCTGACATTTCAGGTATGCGCTACGTTTCTTCGTACCTCCTCGCCCTTGCTGGTGGAAATGAACATGCCAAAGTAAGCAACAGAGAAGTTTAATTGAACAGTTTTGAATTTTTCTCTTTAGCTTGAACATTTGGACATTCTCGGAGCTGTGGGAGTTGACACCGCTGTTGAAGCAGCCAAGCTTGTCATTTCACACCCAGAAGGCAAGTCCATAGGCGAGGTTATCGCAAAGGACCGTCTAGTTTGGTTTCGGTGAGCTTTTTTTTGTAGCTTCCAGCTTGCAAGCTCTTTGATTTGGTCAACAACGGTTTTTCTTTTGCGGCCCCTACACTTTCTAAGCTTTCGTTTTGTTACCCGTTTAGCATGTGGGAAGTTTGCTATTTACAACTTTCCTGATGTCAGGCTTGTTATGTCCATTCGTTCATCTTCCGTCTTACCTCTAGTGGGGGTTATCTTATAGTTGCTGTTTTCATTGCAAATGTGACTAGCAAAGTGAACATTTTTAGGGCTTGTTTGACTGATCGAAAATAAAATCAAATAATTTGTTATCGGTCATAGTCTGATGTCATAAACAGCTTGCTAGGTGAAATTTAAAAAGCTCCGATGATCGAACCAAATTTTCTGCCATTACGATCTTCAGTCCATTGATTTCACTATATAAGCTTTGAAAAAACATTCGTTCAAATTTCAGGCTCAGTGGATGGATGAGAGAGATGGTCGGAGCAGATATGTCGATGGACTCAAAACCGAAGAGTTTCCTTCAAAGGATACTGTTGATAAGGTGAATCACCCATAATATTTACTTGCCCTGCTCGTTTCTGAAGTTTTTCTATTTGAGATTGTTGACACGTAGTCGAATCATGCGATGAAACTCCTGCTCTGGGAACGCGGCAACTGTTAGCAGTTCACCATGAAAAACAGCCAGACGGACGAGCGTTTGAAAAGGTGAGGAGTAGTATCTAACATGTCCATGTTCCGGACGTCCGTGACGATCGCGAATTAAATAGCACGCTGGCGTTCTCTTTGCAATTTTTATCTGATAGACCACCATGCTACATGATTTCCTTTACAGTGGGAAATGGGTGAGTACGAGTGGATTCGTATCGAAAGGTCGAGGCGAAAATTTCCAACGTCGCAGGCGGTCTACGAGATATAGCCAATGGTGATGATCATAAGGTGGGTGTGCATTTACATAATTTCTTAGAGCTATCGTCCCTATATTTCTGTGTTATCACTTATGTTGCGTATATGTGCATGAAACTACTAAAGTATCAGAAACAGTGATTCCACTCATGATAATGTCTTTCAGATTGTTCTGTTTGCTGAAACATGCGCTCATTGGCTAATAACAGCTTTGGCAGAATTTCCTACATTGTCATACCCATTGTCGCTGTGTACATACCTGAGGAGGTAAGAACATTTGGAATATCTCTCATTTTGGTTTTCTTATGAACACTACGGAGATGAGTAGCTGACGTTCCAGGCGATTGCACATGCTATAGATGAGACGGGAGCCACCATTTTGGTGACAACAGCGGAATTGCTTCCATAGAAACAATCTGGCAAAACATTGTCTTCTTTACGTACCCCAATCTATTTGCCACAAGTCAATAAGCAGGCACCACCAGATCTCTCACCGTTCAAGTCAGAGTTCAAATCCCGATCTCGAATCAAGAATGCCGATGATCAGTGAATTATTTTAGTGACGTAATAAAATGAGTATTCACAGTGGAGAAATTGATGTAGTGTTGAAAATTTACTCAAATGTCGCTAATTTTACTAGAAATGGACGTCACACGTTAATCTTGCTGGGATTCATGTGCACGCTTAGTCTGGGTTTATACTGATTTGTAAGTTCCGGAACAGTTTCAGCACAGTGCTAGAACTGTGCGCAGTGCTGGAACTGTTCCGGAACTTACGGATCACTATGAACCCAGCCCAAGAACTCGGTCATCAAGATTGCACGGTTTGCTTTCATGTAATATCTATCATCTAGACCCTTAGTGATGTGCACAAGTCCCTATGTACCTATGTGCTCGTCTCTTTTCCTTCAGATTGTGGTCCTCGTTCATATTGCAGTTTTTGTGTTTTTTTTGGTATACTTACCTTTACCCCAATAACGAACATCAGTGTTTTGTACGTCTCGCTACGTTTAATCACACTAGCTCTGTTTCCCACAGTCCCCGCTTTAAGAATAAACTCAGAAAATTCGAAAAATACTCGATGCTGTCGGGAATGTTACTGGTTTTATAAAATATTAGGTCGTTCCGAAAGTATGTCGCTTTTTTCAAATAAACGCCACATCTCATGGAATAAAGATTTTCAAAAGATCTTAGAAGGATTCGATGCAGCATTTTATCCTCTTTCTAAGGGTTGCAATTTCATTGCATAATATCTAATGAGCTCTCGAAAATTTACCAAAATCTGCGACTCATGCTTTTTGCCTTGGTCAAGTTCGGCTATTTTTCTAAATTTTTGTACCTATTCTCCGAAGAAGCACAAGTGACAGGTAGGTAGAAATCCTATAGGACACGAGCAATTTTTTTCTTTTCCTTAGCTTGCTTCTTAGAGTTTCTGGCACCATTTTTTCAATACAAAATTAGTGTCAAACAATAATTCATCTTTGTAAGTTTCAAAACCCGAAGATTTATTGGTGTTTGATGCATTTGTGTCTGCGACGAGTCTGCTAAAATTCGGTGGTTCCATCAAAAAATCTACGCAAAAATTATGACGAACTCTGGAAAGTAGAAAAAGGTTGTGCTTTTCCTGTAGGGTTTGCTCTATCCACCCATTACTTGGACTCCTTCCGAGGATTGTTATAAAAGTTTAGAAAAATTGTAAAACTTGGCCTTTTCAAAAAGCATGGGTCGCAGATTTTGATAATTTTTCAAGAGCTCATTAGATATTATGCAATAAAATTGCAACCTTTAGAAAGAAAATGAAATGCTGCATCAACTGCTACCAGAATCTCTTGCACATCTCTGTTCCATGAGATGCGGCGTTCGGTTGAAAAAAGCGACATTACTTTCGGAACGACCCAATATATTTCGCGCAGGTATCTTTCTTCATTCTCTTTCAAATGAGATCTCTAATGTGATCTCATTTGTTTTTTTTGTTAAGAATGAATTGTTTTTGTTTCTTTTTTCGTCAATAAAACTTGTTCCTTGGTTAAAGTGTTCACTGCAGAGTCACTGGGATCAATTTTTGGGTCAAAGGGGAATTCGTAAAAAAATTTTGGGTCAAAGAGGAATTCGTTTTCGAAAACCCCTTTTGACAAGCTCGTGCGGGGCCCTGTATACAGCGTCACTGTGGAATAGGTTTGATGAAATAATTTTAGAAAATTCTGAAAATTTGTGTAGCAAGCTTTTCAGGCGTGCTAATTTCACTACACAACTTTTCACCAATTTTTGAGCTTTCTTGATGACTTAATCACATTTCTGACGAAGATTGGAAATACAGTTGTTACCCTAAATTTGAAATAACTTATAAAAAGTTCGCACTATATATACTATACTACGTACCATATACATTATACTAAAGTGAAAATTTCGTATTTAAAATCAGCGTCGATTAACCCAGTTCAAGAGTTTTTTTTCTTGTTCGTTCCTTTCTGGAGTAAAATATCGCTTTCAATAGCTTAGAATCCTTTACGAAGTTCCTATCATAATCCTCAGTAATGAAGAGCGATTGATTATCCGCTCCACAGTGCAAATCTAAGGTGAATCTCGCTCTGCAAATGGTACCTCAAGTTCAGGAAAAGAATTTAAAGCAAGAGTGTTATTAACGATCGAACGGTGTGCACATATTTTTTGTAGAATTCTCGCATTGCTGAACTTTAAAGCCACACAGGGTTTTTTTCATAACTTTTACTTCATAAAGAAAGCTGTAGGAAGGCTACTTTGCCTGACAATGCTTTGAACGCACGCATTTGACTTCGCTTGCGATGCTAAGAAACGATCACATTATCCACATCGATCTAGTTGATTTTAGCCGTTATAACAGCACTAGTAAATGCTCAAATTATGAGCCCTAACAGGTGAGTAAGCGTCTCAAGTCTTACTTTCTTCAAAACCTCCATAATAATGGCGTAAGCAACACCTATCACTTCCGGAGAGAGACGGTTTTTCCTGAATGTTTGTCTGCAATAAAGATAAAATCTTAGTCAGCAATCGCTAAGTGATGTCATTTTTTCGCAATATGCTCTCAGGAATAGATAGCAAAGTTGTCTTGAATAGCTTTGGACAGCTTCATATTACAAAAAAATCGACTCTTCGCTTGAAATTTGTTCTCCGAATTTGAGCCAATGGAACTACGAAGAACCTTGCTCATATCACTAAGTATGTGCACTCGCACACTTTATCGTAGGGTATGATAAGGAGATTGGGGCATTCTAGCTTTATTGCTGCAAAAACTGTGTTTGTTCTGCATATATGAGAGCATATTTGCGCAAGTGAGCAATCTCTATTCTTGCGAGATTGATTCATGCTATTTGCATGCCATGGAAGAGCATATGTTTTGTTGTTGGCACACCCAGGAATCAACATTATCGTAGATATAAGAATAACGCAAAAAAAGTTTTTGGACATCGACTTTATATAGAATTGTTTTTGCACTGGTTTGAGTACGGAGTACATGTGACATGATTTTTATGAGAGAAAAACGGGTGTTGAAATCATAGATCGAGCGCGAGCACATCAATGATACACATGAATAATGAAGCTTGAAAACTGAAAAAAAAAATGGAAAACTTGGACTTCTGCCCTAATCCGCACTCTCACGTTTGTGACCATTACTTCCTCGTCCCCATTCCTTCGAGAATGGGTCGCGAAGTTTTTGAATGTAGCCTGCACGGGCTAATGGCTGCCACCAACCCCGTTTTTTAAGATTTCGGGGTTATAAGCTCGCAAAAATTTTGAAACTACCCCAAAAAACCTTTTAAGTCCGACGTCAAGCACCTTCATTTAGATTCCCCTCCCCCTCATATTACATCAGACACTGATTGTATTAAACCTGGGACCCTGGAGCAGCTACTTTTGTGTGCAGATGCAAGTTTTCACAGCTATACCTGCACTAGATTCCAAGAAGCAATGAACAAAAGAATTGTTCGAAAACATTTTGTCAATCTTTAGCACTAGCTTTACTTTTACCTACTGGAGGGATGCGAATGGGTGGCAGAATGCATGTTATGCTTCCAAGCTAGTGATTCATTTTTAACTCGCCCACATATTCTATTAGGTTGTAACATGACTCTTATTACACTTCAACTCTTACTGCGATACGTACGATACGTACGTGCGTATATAATTACGATAAGTCATAATTTTATTAGGGCTACATGTTACCATTCGATAGAGCAAAGCAAGCTCTACAAATGTGCAAAAGTTCGCACCAGCTCTAACTCACCGTAAGTTTGTGCCCAAAATCTGAATCGTACTGGTCCAGTAAATAGAGAAAAATTATGTCTTTGTTCAAAAAATCCTACGGATCCAACATGCTCACACAAAATGCACATTACATCAGGCACTAATTGTATTAGGTGGTTCCGAAAGTTATGTCGCTTTTTTCAAGTGAACGCTACACTTCGTGGAAGCAAGGTTTCTAGGAGATCTTGGTAGCGTTCGATGCAGCGTTTCATCCTCTTTCTAATGGCTGTAATTTCACTGCAGAATATTCGTTGAGCTTTTGAGAAATTACTAAAATCTCCAACCCATGCTTTTTGGGACGGTCAAGATTCACAATTTTTCTAACATTTTGTAATAACTCCCGGAAGAAGTCTAAGTAACGGATGAATAGAGCAAACCCCATAGGAAACGGTACCATTTTTTTCTGTTCTCAGTATCTCGTCATAATTTTTGTAGAGATTTTCCAATGAAGTCATCGAATTTTTGCAGGCTTGTCTCAAACACATACGCATCAAATACCAATAAACTTTCGGATTCTGAAACCTACAAAGGTGGATTATGGTTTAACACTAATTTTACAAAGCATGCGAGCATTTACCCCTTCAGATTAGCAACTTTTGGAAATTTCGGGTACAGCCTGGGGCGCCTTGGAAAACCTGAATTATGATGATTTTTTCCCGGAAAAATTTGTGAATCGGAAACCCAAAAACGACTCGTAAAAAGAGGGGAAAAATGCTGCGTCGAATGACATCCGAGTTGCTTGCCGGTTATTGTTCTGTGAGGTTTGAGTTGATCAAATATGGAATTTGATAGCACTGAAAAATTGATTCTACAAACTCTAAGAAGCAAACTGAGGAGAAGAAAAAAACTGTTTTGTGTCCTTTAGGGCTTGCTCTATTCATCTGTTACTTGTACATCTTCGGGGAATCAGTACAAAAATATAGAAAAATAGCCGAACTTGACCATGACAAAAAGCATGAGTCGCAGATCTTGGTAATTTTTTGAGAGCTCATTGAATATTATGCAATGAGATTACAACCAGGGCCCGGCACGAGTTGGTTAGGAGGTTTTCAGAAAACGAAGTCCCCCATGACTTCGCG